GAGGGCCCAGAGAGCCGAGAGGATGCGGCCGGCGGCTGCTGTCCCGAGCGGCACGCGGTGATCGCCCTCCCGAGGAGGAGGCGCCTAGACCGTTGCCTCATTTCTTGCCCCCCCTCTCCGTAATTACATTGGCTACTGGAAGGGACCGAGAGAGACAGAGGAGGCGCCAGGCTTCCCCCTCACGCCCGCCACCCCTGCTCTTTCCCGTCCCGGGCCAGGATGACTGGAGTCTTTGACAGTCTGGTGGCTGATATGCACTCGACCCAGATCACGGCCTCCAGCACTTACCACCAACACCAGCAGCCCCCGAGCGGCGGCGGCGCCGGCCCCGGCGGCAGCAATGGCAGCAGCAGCAGCCTGCACAAGCCCCAGGAGTCGCCAACCCTTCCGGTGTCCACGGCCACCGACAGCAGCTACTACACCAACCAGCAGCACCCGGCGGGCGGCGGCGGCGGGGGGGCCTCACCCTATGCTCACATGGGCTCCTACCAGTACCACACCAGCGGCCTCAACAACGTCCCCTACTCCGCCAAGAGCAGCTATGACCTGGGCTACACGGCCGCCTACAGCTCCTACGCGCCCTACGGGACCAGTTCGTCTCCAGCCAACAACGAGCCTGGTATGCACAACGCTGGGGTCCAGGGTGCCGAGTCGGTTGGGTCACGGGGACGGATGGATAAACATGTTTTGGGGAGGGGACAGTCCAGAGTCCTGGCCTTTCACAGCGCCTGCTCCTGCGCTTTACCCGTCCCAATCTGTAGTCTCCCGCGAGTGAGGGTTTGTCCCCCGGTGCTGGTGGCACCCAGAGACTCCAGGGCAGGGCGGGCAGGCCGAACACGCCTCCCTTCAGTAGCTGCACTTCCTCGACGCCTGGCTCTTCTTTCTCTCTGGCGTGCTTCCCGTCCTTGGGGTGCTCAGCTCGAGGGCTCGGTGGCAGCTCTAGTCCGCTCGTGGCGAAGTTGCGCCTGCAGCCCGCGCGCGCGACCTCTCCAAGGATCGGCTCCCCCGCTCCAGCAGAGTTCCCGCCGGGCCCTTCCGGCGTGCAAGGGCTTTAGGACGCCGCATTGAGCGGTCATAACGATTCCATTTCATTGCAGAGAAGGAAGACCTCGAGCCTGAAATCCGGATCGTGAACGGGAAGCCAAAGAAAGTCCGGAAACCCCGCACTATCTATTCCAGTTTCCAGCTGGCGGCTCTTCAGCGGCGCTTCCAAAAGACTCAGTACCTGGCGCTGCCTGAGCGAGCCGAGCTGGCGGCGTCTCTAGGCCTCACCCAGACTCAGGTGGGGCTCGCGCCCTGAGGGGACCGGGGAGGGGCGCGCCCGGGAGGCCCAGAAGCAGGCGCGTTCATCTAAAATATAGATGTATATTTTAAGTCGTTTTAAGACTTAAAACAGGCCCCACCTCAGGCAACCTAAACTTATAGGCCCAAAGCTGAAAATCCCCAAAGAGTCTCTGTGAGGGAGGGAATCAGAGGGACAGACGTGCACAGAAATCGGGTACCACGTTGCCTTTCGACTTGGTGCTCATTAAGCGGGTGAAACAACTGGCCCTGCTGACACCTTCCGCTGTCACCACCTTGCCCAGACACGCGGGGTCACACGCAGAGCACATCAGCTTTTTGAAGTCACCTTCCAGTACCGCAGGAAGCTGCAGCGCAAGGTCCGCTCCCCCGCCAGATTGCTCAATGGCCACCTCCAGCCCGCAGGCTTCCTCTACTGCCTCTCCTCCCTGCCCATGCCCCGGTTTCTCCCATTAACGTTCCTATCCTTTCTCCACAAAGGTCAAAATCTGGTTCCAAAACCGCAGATCCAAGTTCAAGAAGATGTGGAAGAGTGGAGAGATCCCCTCCGAGCAGCACCCTGGGGCCAGCGCTTCGCCACCTTGTGCCTCGCCGCC